GACCCATCACGGCGCTGAGGATGGGAGGTCCGCAGGGGAGTGAACGTGCAGTGCAGGTCGTTGGGCTGCTTGGCGCTGGCAGCTCCAGGGGGCAGCAGCTCTGACCTGATACGAGGATCATCTGAGGATGACCTAGCCCTCTGAGGACCAGGTGGACCACACCTGGTAGTACCGAGCTCCTTCTGCCTCCACTTAGAGGGCATCAGGTCTCACACACCAGGCAGGAGCCTCTTCAAGGCATCTCGACACCTTTATGATGAAACCCACGAGGTCTGTCCCTAAAACCATTACTTTACATCCTGCAGGAACCTCAGCATTAGATCAGGTCACAGACATCTAGAAATAAGAGGGTTGGGATTTCCCTGGTGGTCCAGCGGTTGAGAATCCGCCTTGCAATGCAAGGGAGGTGGGTTCGATCGCTGGTCCAGGAAGATCCCACATGTCGTGGAGCAACTAAGCCCAGGTGTCGCAACTAGAGAGTCCATGTGCTGTAACGAAAGAGCCCCAGCGATACAACGGAGATCCTTCATGCTGCAGCGAAGACCCAGTGCAGCCAAAAAAAAAAAACACCAGAGGGTTGTGTGATCACGAGTCCATAGGAGACAACGCCTTTGCCCCCAAGGAGCTTATAGTGCATGATAGCATCTGATTACATACTAACAGGTAGCCATTCAACAAACGCATATTAGTACCTGGTGCACCCAGGAGCAGCCCGAGATGCTGGGGATACTGTGATGAATAAGACAGGCATCCTTGTGGAGAAAACAGGCTGCTGGGGAGGGAGATGTGTGAGGGGGAACCGGGGAGCTTTAACAGGAGCTGAGGTGGCCAAGGGCGTGAGGGATGTTTGGAGGGCGTGAGGGATGTTTGGGGGGCCCGAAGGATGAGCCAGCCAAGGGAAGTGGGTGCCACGGTGTGGAGGAATGTGGGCTCTCTGAGCAACTCGGGGCTGGCTGGGCCTTGAAGAGCAAGTCAGCCTTGAGGAAGCCGAGGGGGCGGATAGTGAGGCCATTGGTCTGGCTGCTCCGGCCTCACGATTGTGTGAGAAGGAAGGAAGAGGAGAGGAGAGGCCGAATCTGAGTGGCCGGCAGGATCCACAGGGAAATGGCCGGGAGCAGAGCACTTTCAAGTTAGAAATGGGGACCTCGGGGGCAGGCCGGACAGGGATGCCACTGAGTCTCCTGACAAGGACGCTATGGAGAAGGAAGACTGGCTGGTGGAGGAAGGAAGGAGACAGGTCTCCTGAAGGACAGGAGATCTCAGAGAACCATCTGCAGGCATTCCGAGGGCAGTTCTCAAGGACGGGAGGGGGGAGGGGCTCCCCTGTGCCAAGTGTTGACAACGGTTCTAGAGCTCTGAGAGCTGGGCCGGAGCACAGGACCGTCCAGGTAAAGACGGCACATCCGCAAGGCGCCGCCTGGGTCTCCGCCCCCTCCCAGAAGCGCACCTTCCTTCTCTCACCTTCTTGGCCAAAAGCGCCCCCAGAGGCCCCAGCAGCGGGCCCGCGGCGGCCGGCCGGCCCAGGGCCTTGGGGAGGAGGCGGCCCAGCTCCTCTGCCTGGACTCAGGGGCCGCCCGTTGCCGGCGGCTGACTGACTCACGGTGGGAAACCGGCACTGCCCTCGAGCTGCGGAGATGAAAGTGGCCGCAGGGGGGCGGCCGGTGGGGGCGAGCAGGCGGGGCAGGCCCGGAGGGAGCGCCTCCCTCAGTGGAAGGCACCTCTCTCTCCTGCAGCCTCCCGCAGGGGTGGGAGGAGGCCTCTCTGCTTCCAAGAAACCCCACCCTGGAGAAAGCCGTGCTTTCTCCTTTGGGAGAAGAGGGCCCTTCAGACATCACTGCAGGCCCCAGCACCTGACCCGCTGCTGCTTTGGGCCAGACCTCAAAGGGAGATGGGGATGGTGGTTCTGGGTACCTGGGACTTGGGCCACGTCCAGGAAGCAGTGAGGAGGCTCCAGAAACCAAGGTGCGACCACCCCGATCCAGGAGCATCTGTGCCACCTACACCCATTAACTCTGCCTATTAGCTTTTCCCTCCTCAGGCCCTCCCCATCCCTGCTCCGACAGGTACACAGTTTGGGGGAGGCGTGATGTGACTGGGGGAGGGATGAGACGTGGGGATGGCGGGAGGCAGGCAGCAGGGAGGAGCAGAGGCTGGAGGCAGGTGGGCTATTCTGAACAATTCACTCTTCTTCTTGGAGCTCTAATTTTCTCACGGAAGCCCTAATTTCTCAACATGGAAGTAGGTATATTACGAGGCCAGCACACCTTAGACAACTGTCGGGAGTAAACGAGCAAAGGAATGAATTTTCCAAACTGTCAAAATTAAGTACACCATCGGTGGTTACCATGACCACGATTTCATCAGGAGTTCTCACCGTGAAGTCCATGGAGCCCAGTCTGGGGGATCTGTGGAGTGCCTGAAATAACCTGTAAAAATGCATGTGGGGGCATCTTTCTGGGGTGAGGATGCATAGCTCTCAACAGCTATTTAAAGAAGTCTGGGACTAACAAAGTTTAAGACCCACACACAGGGTGGCCCAGCGGTTAAGACTCTGCATTGCCAGTGCAGGGGACTCAGGTTCAATCCCTGGTCGGGGAACTAAGATCCCACATGCCATGCAGCAGGGTCAAAAGATTCCCCCCACCCCAAAAAAAAAAAACCCACACAGCATGCATCCATCCCGGTTACTTTCTTTTTTTTTTTTCTTTTTTTTTTTCCGGTTACTTTCAAGATGGGTTAGAGATGACTCAAGGTGATCCCTTGATCCTCCCCTCCCGCAGAGCAGCCAGAGGCAGGGCCCCATCCTTTCTCACAGTTCAGGGTGGGGACAGTGAGAGACAAGAGAACCAGGGAGCCCCAGGATGGGAGAGGGGAGGCCCTTCCAAGTTGCCGGACAAGTGAGTCACCTTCCTAGCCTCCCTTTCCCAGAAACCCCCCCACAAAAGACTCAGCCACAGGAAACACCCCAAGCACTCTCTCACACTGTCCTGAGATGACCTCTGGTTCTCAGTTTCCTCTTCTGGGAAAGTTAAAGATGCTTTACGGAAAACCATGCAGGGCCACACACAAGATGCAGTTTATTGAGCAATTACTGAGTACCAGATATATGTTGGATGTTTGACTGGGATCACATAAACGGCACGGCACCCTTTCAAGAGGCCTCCCCCTGACCAGGCAGTGAAAGTCAATCCACTCCTCTCCCCCACCCTCCAGTTATTCTCATAGTCCCTGTTTTTTCCCCTCCCTACCATTCTTTACAATAGAGGCTGTTTCTTTGCATTCCTTCCATTCTCTCTCCTCCACGAGACTACAGTCTTGCCATGGGTAGGAGGTGTGTGAATATTGATGGCTGTGTATTGGTGCTAAGCACAGTGCCTGCTATCTTGTGGCCACTCAGATCCCTGTTAAATGACTGTCTTTAGTCGTCACAACAGCCTCATGAGGTAGGTTATCATATCCATTGTACGGAAGAAACTGAGGTTCAGAGACTCAGAGATTTGCTTTGGGGCACAGTCTGTTATCACCAGACTTCAGCTCTACTCCCTCCCCTTGAAAGGACTTGGAGAATGAGAAAACCTAAGGGTCAGAAGAGAGAGTTAGACCCAGCATAATGGCTCCAGTTCAGCCACCACCCTGTGCTCGGCCTTCCCCAGCTGAGTTCACTTCCCCAACCTCTCATCACAGCCCAGTACGTTCCAGTCATCAATCCGCAGCCACAGGACTGGAGGCCATCCAGACTGGCCTGTTTATTTCCAAGCCAAGAGAGAATCAGTCCTTCCCTGCCAACCCCAGAGCAAGATACAGCTAGGAGTCCACATCCCACCCCTCAAGCCTTAACACAGCAGATAAATTAGTGAAATCTTGTATAAAACATTGTACAGGGGGAAATACATACATATATATAGAGCCAGTGTTGGCACTGGGGTGCGGTTGGCTTTTTAGACACAGGTAACCAGATCCTGCCCCATCAGAGCACCTGCCCACCCCAGCACTTTTTCCCTGAAGTGGTCCTCTGCTACCCCCCACCCCGGTACTGTGAGTGGTTAGCACACATCACAGAGGTCCAACATCATGCCCCCAAAGGGAAATGCTTCCTGGGTGCCCCCACCAGCCTGCTCCTCTGAGGCGGGCACCCACTGCCCTATTCCCTCACCCAGGTAGCCTGCCTTGGCCTGGCCCCAGGAGTTCAACCCACCAAGACCTGAAGACAAGATGGACCAAGGAATACTGTTCCCTGATATGTCTGATGGCCAGACATCATCTACACCAGGACTGTTTTTTGAAAGTGGAAGGGGTTCTAATTCACTGGAAAGCAGGCCTAAACCCAGACTTCCCACCAAAGAACAAATGGTAACCCTACTGATCAGGTTTCCCTGCTCTGAACAGGCCTGGTCCTGCACTCTTGACTTTCCAAATCACAGTCCCTACTCGCAGCAAACTCTTCTTAGACCTCTATTCCCACCTCTGTCGCTTTCTACTCTCCAAGACCTTCTGGCATCTTGGTTACACATCCCAAGGCCTCGATAATATTGGGGACCTGTAGTACTGGGGTTGGGAGGGGTGGTTGGGATGATGCCCCTCCAAATCCCATACAGGACCTGACCATCACTCAAGGCCTTTGGTGTCAAGCCCCAGGCTTTCTAGCTCCTTGGCCCCAACCCCCCAAATCATGGCTGCCTGGGTCTGAGTAGTAAAGCAAGCCTCCACCCTGTGTCTTCCATCCCAAACTTGCCAAGTCTTCCCTCTCTAGGCCCTTCTGTAGCTCAAGGCCAGGGAGAAATTAACCTCCAATTCCCCCATCCCCACTCATGGTCAGTGCAAAGCACTTTGTTCAGGTACCTCCCCAACGTGCCTGCATGTTCCTGGTCCCACCTCAATGTGGCTTTCATACTAGCAACTCTAGGTATCACCTCTGGATTGGCAGCTGGTGGGCGGGTGGAAGCTGAGATCAACCTGTAGCACCCTGCACCCCCACCCAGACAGGGCTGGTCCCCAGCCCCTCATGAGAACCTGACCGGTAACCACAGCCATTCTGATGGGTTCCCCATTGGGTTCCCATTCAGAGCCAATGCCCCTGCCCTTGCTTTTAGAACCTGCTCAGCAGGGCTGCTTGGAAAACTGCTTTCAGTAAACCCTGCTAAGGCAGATAGTCCCAGACAGTGAAAACTCAGGCTCCGGGTCCTTAAAGGTTCCTTCTCTTCTCCTTCCTTCTCCCTCCTACCCTCCTCTGCAGACAGCCCACAGCCACCCCAAGGCTTTGGGAAACAGAAGTCCAATCCTGATCTTCCTGGGGGCACTGCCTCACTCGTTGTCCGTCTGTCTGTCTTTGGGAAACAAAGACTCTTCTGTGTCTGAGTGAGGCTACCTAACACCAGTTGCATCCCTCCCAACCCCACCAAAACAAGCGCCCAGATCCGACCCCTTGGAGGACAGCTGAGAAAACCCTGAGCTCAGGACGGGGCCTTCCAATGGGCCCCTGAGTAGGCATAGGAGATGGGATGGCGGGTCCCAGGCCTCACAGTGAATGTGTTGATGGAGCTTCCGTAGTGCGTGTTGTTGTGGGGAGACCTGGTGGGGAGCAGGAGAAGAGATGAGGTTAGTATCTGCAGCTGGTTAACCATCACCCCGAGAATCTCCCCAGGGCCATCAGAGGAAGGACGGAGCTGCCCCTCAAGCCCAGGGCTTATCCTCCCCAGTGGGACCCAGTATTGACTCATCAGCCACAGGGTTCCCTCCTGTCCAGGCCCTGTTGCCAGAGTACTTGCGCAATACCCTCCTTCTCAGAACCCTTCCCTCCTAGCCTGGCTCTGGATGCATCTTGGTGATGGGAAATCTCAGCACTCAAGGACCACTCAGCTCTCCCCCACCCCACACAGGGACTCTAGGAAGGGGGAGACAGGAGAGAAGACAAAGGAGAGTGGGTGTTAGGGAAGCGCGCCTCCCTGCCCCTTCTCTCTGCCCTGAGAGCCAGGATGGAGAAAAGCAAATATCCGGGGGCATGGCCGCAGCCTGGCCAGCTCCGGGTGGTCTGGGGGCGAGCCTCCGTCTCCCCTGCCTTCCCAGCCCAGCCCCCCTCTCCCCTGCTTTCTCAGCCCACTATCACCCTGGCCACCCTGGCCCACCCCTCACCTGCCGGTAGCCGGGGTGCAGCCGTAGTCGCCGCCGCCGCCGCCGCCGCCGCCGAGAGCTTTGTACTTGGTCTCTCCGCGAGGGGCGCCCTCCAGGGACATCTTCCGCGAGTGCAGGCCGCCGGGGGGCCCGCGGCCCGCCGAGTTGACGCGCCGCATCTCGGGGCCGCTGGGCGCTGCAAAGGGGCCCCCGGGCTGCGGCCCGAAGCAGTTGGGGGAGCTCAGGCTGCGGCCGGTGCCGCCGCGGGGCGGCCCGGGGTTGCGGTGAGGCTCCCCGACGTAAAGGCGCTTCTTGATGAGCGAGCGACCCCCGCCCCCGCCCGAGAAGCGCTCCAGGCCCCGGGCCGGACCTGGATCGGCGGAGAAGTGAGAGAAGCTGCGAGGTGGGCCCGCGTTGGCGGGCTGCCCCAAGTCTGAGAAATTGTTCCGGGGAGGGGAACCCCGGCGCCCCAGATACTGCAAGGGGGCGGTCGGGGGCTCGGGGTCATTGCTGAATTCTGGCGGTGGCGGGATGACCTCAAAGTTGAACTCCTCCTCCTTGCCTTCCTCCGGTTTGTGGGAAGGAGAAGGAGGGGAAGAGAAAGACTTGGGCAGCAGGCGGCCCTGGAGGCTGGAGGGCTCTGGTCTCTCCCAGGCCGCCGAGGCCCGGGGCTCCACCTTTGTCCAGCTGGGCCCGCGGCCCGACTCCGTGCCCTCTGGGTCCCTGCGGGGCTGGGGTTCCCACTGACGGAGTCCTTTGGGCTGTCCTGGCGAGGTTAGCTGGGGGACATTCCCAGTCTCCTTGGACACCTTGGGGACCACAGTGAAGGAGTTGGGCTGGCCCTCGTTGTACAAGATGGTATCAGAGCCTGCCTCGGGCTGGCTGGGGCCTCGGACACTCCCTGGTAGGGAGGACCGGCCCAGGGCAGCCCCCCTGGGCCTCCCCTTCTGGGCCCTCTGCTTGGCTGCAAGGAGCAGAGCCATCGGGGAGCCCCGCTCCACCACCTCCCCCGTCACCGGGTGCCTGAGGAGCTCGTCAGCAGCCTGGGGTGAGGCTGGGGGCTTGGGCGGCAGCTCCTGGGGCTCCTTCCCCTCCACAGGCTTGCCTGACCCTGCAGCCTCTCCTCTGGACAGGGTGGGCGTCACCACGGCCACCTCTCTGCTGGGGCTGTTCTGGCTGCGATGGGGCTTGTAGAAACAAGGCGCCTCTTCTCGCCCAGGTGATATCTTTGGGGGGAAGGCTGGAGATGAGTGGGCTCCCTGTGTAGGAGGCTTACTGGCCTCTGAGGAGTGCCCCTCTACCTCTGGCTTGGAGGGCACTGCAAGTTCTTCATGTTCTGGCTTCTCCCACTGCCCAGCTGCGACCAGGTTCTTTTCTGCTATCAGTTGGGAAGATGTGATGGGTAGAGGTGTGGCCTTGGGTGGTGTGGTTGGTCCAGGTGTGGCCTTGGGCGGTGAGGCTGGTCCAGGTGTGGCCTTGGGTGGTAAGGCTGGTCCAGGCGTGGCCTTGGGTGGTGTGGCTGGTCCGGGCGTGGCCTTGGGTGGTGTGGCTGGCCCAGGAGTGGCCTTGGGTGGTGAGGCTGGTCCAGGCGTGGCCTTGGGTGGTGTGGCTGGTCCAGGAGTGGCCTTGGGTGGTGAGGCTGGTCCAGGCGTGGCCTTGGGTGGTGTGGCTGGTCCAGGCGTGGCCTTGGGTGGTGTGGCTGGTCCAGGTGTGGCTTTGGGTGGGGTGGCTGGTCCGGATGTGACCTTGGACTGGAGTGGTGTGTTTGGCAGAGGGGTGGTGGATAGAGGTGGCAGATTCTTGGCCACAGGCTTGGAGAATTTGCCGTTATCAACTCTGTTTTCAAAGATTCTTCCCCCTTCTGGCTGAGGTTTGGGAGGCAGAGAGCCTCTGCTGGGCCTGGCCTCCTTCTCAGCTGATGAGGAAAGCTGGGCCTCCAGCTTCTTCCGGATCTCCCAGACGCTAGGAGTTGGCGCGTCTTGGGGGAGGTAATCCACAGGAGGAAGGGTCAGGCTGGTGGCAGCCTTCTTTGGTCGGCTGTAGGGACTCTTCTCAGGAATGCTTGAGGGGGCCTCCTCCTCTGGCAGGCTTGGGGGCGCCTCCTTCTGTAGCAGACTCGGGGGCGCCTCTTTCGCTGGCAGGCTGGGACGCTTGTGGTCCTCCCTTCCCTGAGAGGCTGCCGCTGGACCTGGTCTGTGACTGGCGAGACGGTCCTCTCTCCTGGAGCCGCAAAGATAGGCTGACAGCTCGTCCCGCAGCTTTGCCATCTGGCTGGGATCCCGCCAGTCCATGGGCTCCGAAGAGGCTGTCTCCTCCGGGCTCGGGGGGTCAGGTTTGGGTTTGGGAGCAGGAGAGCTGGCCTTGGGTCTTTTCATCAACCCAGCAGGTGGAGGGGCTGCCTTCTCGGCAGATGGCAGAGGAGGGGCGGCTGGGGGCAGCGGGGGTGCTGGTGGAGGGAACGGGGGTGCAGGAGGGGGCAGGGGAGGGGCTGGAGGTGGCGTCTCGGTTTGTTCACTGCTCTGGACCTGAGGCTGGCCCGGCCTCGGGCCAGCCGGTGCCACAGTGCCGGGCTCCTCGGGGTGCACTAGCTCAGCAGCCCTGTCTGGGTAGGCCTGGCACGCAGAGCGGATCTGGAAGCTGGGAGGCAGTGAGGGTCGACTGGGGCCCTTCTTGGTGGGCTCTTCGTCCTCAGGAGAAGCCCCTTGTACCTCTGGAATGGAGATGGATGAAGTCCTGACTGGGGTTGGGGGAGGCACTTTGAATGACCGGGGGAAGGTGAGGTGGGACTCCGGACCCGGGAGGCCCCCCTTGGGCTCAGCAGGGCTCTTGGGGGGGCTGCTTCTGGGGGCGTCAGGCTGCCTACCATTCAGCGTTACTTCCGATTTCCACTTGGTGACACCTCCAGCGGGGAAGAGGCGGGTCCCCGCGGTCTGGGGAGACCCTGGGGCTGGGGGTGTGGGGGTTGGCATGAGGGGTGGAGGTGGGGCTTGAATGGCCTGGGGTGGGGCGGGTGGAATGAAGTCAGGAGGCGTGGGTGTGGATGGGGAGGAAACGGTGGGGGCGGGGGAAAGGGCCCCCATTCCTGGGGGCAGAGCTGGGGCCGTGCTGGGTGGGGGTGGTTGCAGTGATACCAGCAGGGGAGGAGGTGGGGGAGCTGTGGAGGGTGGAGGTGGCGGTGAGAGTTCCTCTGCAGGCTGCAGGGTGCCTAGGGGCGGCGCCGGCGCCGGGCCTGGGGGAGGTGGGGGGATGAGTAAGTCCTGGCCATACTGTCCAGGCCTTAGGTCCCCCACAGAGCTGTATAGTCGGAGGTTGCCATTGACGAGCGTGCTGGTGCCTGGAAGGAGGGAGAGGCAGAGATGAGGAGGGTGAGCAGGCAGCACGGGCTTGCTGACCTCCTGAGAGAGCAGCTGGCTGGTTTCGCGAACACCAAGCGAGGAGCAGCCATGTCTCCAGTCTCCTGACCTCTCCTGAGAGGGACCCTCTTCTTTCCAGGGAGGGACCCCTGTGCCCCTGGCACAGCCTCTGGAGCCTGTGCTGAATTTTCTCCATTGGCTTCCGAGGCTCAGGCTCCACGCTTCTGCCCTGCTCACAGTCCTATATATCATCCCTTTACTAAACTCGCTTTGGTTAGCCCCTTGAAGTGCACCGGGTGTTTCTTACAGGTGCCTCAGCTGGTACAAAGCCAGAAACACCAGGGTTCAAATCCAGGCTCTTCTGCTTACTAAATGTGTTACCTTGGACACACTGGTTAAACTTGCTGAGCCTCAGTTTCATTATCTGTAAAATGGGAATAACGTCAGCAATTGCCTCATAAATCTGTTTGAGGATTAAGAGAATTTATATAAAAGAATGGAAAGAGCTTATCAGGTGCTAGGTCCAGAGAATGGTAATCACTTTGACTACTACCGCCTGTGCTTAACTTTCCATTCTGCGTAAGACAGGGAAGCTGGGAGACACAGGAAGTCATGGATGGGGGTAGGGGCCTGGGCACCTCGGTGAGGAAGTTTGGGTGAAAGTTTGGGAGGAAGAAATCTGCATGAGCAACTCCTGCTTTCTAAAGATCCTGAATCTACCAAGAATCCAGAGAACCTCTCAGAGAACTGGAACAGACTCTGGACTGCCAGATGGATGGAGTGGAAATGAATTGACTTGGATGACTCAGGCACTAGAGAGATACTAAGTCCCCCACCCTGGCCCCAGAGCTCAAATCCCTACCCTCTGGCCCCAGTCCCTGCCCCCTCCCTAGTGTCTGCAGACCACCAGGATGCCCGTTACTCCTCTCTGAGGGGCACATATCCTTTGCCTCCCCCACCTCTCAATTTCTGGCACAGAGTGAAACAAACCCAGGAATGTGCAGCTCTGAAGGGCTCCTCCCAGTTTCCTGACTTCAAAAAAAAGACCACATCCAGTGAGCACCCAAGTGTTAGGAGCTGGGACACAGCAGTAAAAGACAAACCAAAACATAGTCAAAATACTGGCCCTCTTGCAGCTTGTGTTTCAACAGGACAAGGAGATAGACAATGAACACATCAGTAAATTTCCAGCACATTGAGGTGATGAGTGATATGGGGGAAAACCCAGGAGGGGTGCTGGGGGTGCAATGTGAATAGGGAGGTCTGGGAAGACCTGGCTGAGAAGGTGACATTGGAGGAAAGATGGAATGAGAGAGGGAGAGAGAGCTGTGCACACGTGCAAGGGAAGAACAGACTGGACCGCAGGGAGTGCAAAGGCCCAGGGGTGGAGACGTGCCTGGATACTGAAGGAGCAGCAAGGAGAGTGGGATGAGACGAGAAAGCCAGCAGGAGATTAGGCCAGGTGGGGCCGGATTCTGGCTGTCCTGGCAAGAACCCTTCTGTTAGGTGACAAGGGAAGTCACTGGCGGGTTTTGAGCAAGCGATATGACAAGAAGTGACTCACATCCTATCCAGTACTCTGTTTGTGCCTTCAGAACTGGAATTGTCTTGCCCGGAGATACAGAGGGGCAAGGGGTTAAGTGACTTGCCCCAGGGAACGAGGCTAATATGCAGGGGAGCTGGGATTCAAGGCCAGGGCTGCCTGACTCCAGGGTTCTTTCTATCACTCACGCTGCCTTTGTTCCTGCTCTGGCCCCAGCCCTCACCATCCTTCCTCCCCTGGGCCTTAGCTCTGGCTCTCCTCATCTCCCACCCACAGCAGCTAGCAGCCAAGAGGCTTGGGGACTCCAGCTTTATCACCAGCTGGGGAGGGAGGTCCAGATGCTTGGGCTTAAGGAGGAAAAAGAGAAAGATGGACAAGCCTCAAGCCTGGGGTCCTCTTACCTGTCACTTGTTTGTCTGCAAAGTTGTCTGGCACACAGGGGGTTGGTACAGCCAGTCCATGGTTCTCCTGAGCATCCTGAAAGACAGCAGAACCATCAGGGGACAGGGAAAGACAGTTCTTAACTTGCTGCTCCGTGAAGCCGTTATAACTGCTGGAAAATTCACAGGGATAACCAGTGAGTATACTGAAATATGGGCTTAGTTAAAAGGGTGAATTTTATGATATAGTCAAGTCTTGTTATTCGCAGTACTTAGGGTCTGTGAAATTGCTGTAAACACTGAATTAGTAAAAACTGGATCCATGCCCTGAGGGAAATACAGGGTTCAGTTCAGTCGCTCAGTCGTGTCCAACTCTTTGAGACCCCATGAACCACAGCACGCCAAGCCTCCCTGTCCATCACCAACTCCCTGAGTCCACCCAAACCCATGTCCATTGAGTCAGTGATGCCATCCAACCATCTCATCCTCTGTCGTCCCCTTCTCCTCCTGCCCTCAATCTTTCCCAGCATCAGGGTCTTTTCAAATGAATCAGCTCTTCACATCAGGTGGCCAAAGTACTGGAGTTTCAGCTTCAACATCAGTCTTTCCAATGAACACTCGGAACTGATCTCCTTTAGGATGGACTGGTTGGATCTCCTTGCAGTCCAAGGGACTCTCAAGAGTCTTCTCCAACACCACAGTTCAAAAGCATCAATTCTTTGGCGCTCAGCTTTCTTCACAGTCCAACTCTCACATCCATATAGGGTTGTGTGTGTGTGTGTGTGTGTGTGTGTGTGAGTCACTCAGTCATGTCCGACTCTTTGCAAGCCCATGGACTGTAGCCTACCAGGCTCTTTTGTCCGTGGGATTCTCCAGGCAAGAATTTTGGAGTGGGTTGCCATTTCCTTCTCCATCCATACAGGGTTAGGATCCTGTAAATCTTGGTCAAGTCACTTTCATCAGATGATCAATATACAACTTTGTCTTTATGCAGGTTTCTCTTTAAAGACACCTTATTTAATGTCTGTTGTTAACGCATTGACATTGAACTCATGGCCAGCAGCACCGTAACTCGTGCCTTCGAAGCTTACCTAACACACGTATTTTCTCTGTAAGGCACCTCGTAGCTTCCTTGCACGTAGGGATGTTAGACAGCACATCAGCCCTGTGCTTAGGGAGCATTTTATTTAATTAATAAAAAAAAAAGTTTTCTAGCCATTCCATGCAACATGTGGGATCTTAGTTGCCCAACCAGGGATCAAACCCATACCTCTCTGCACTGGAAACACAGAGTCTTAGCCATTGGACTGCCACGGAGGTCCTTGAGGGCCATTTTTAAATAGCAAAATCACCAACAAAAAGCAAAGAAATATGAAAAGTATGGCACTAAACAGAAAAGGATGCTTATTTACAGTACAAGGGCTGAAACAAGGAAGCAAAATGTCTTGTTCGACTTCAGCTGGTTCCCTGTGCAGCAGGTGACAAACTTTTCACTGCTCCGCTCGTGCCAAAGTGTCTTAAGTAGATTTGGGGGGTTACAAATAAATTTTAGCGAATAGGCAAATTACAGATACCGAATCTGCAAATAATGAGAATCAACTGTATATAAATTATACCTCAATTGAAACAGATCCAAAAAAAAAAAAAAAAAACTGTGCCTAACTCCCCAGGGATGTCCACAAGATCAAAAGCCAACCCCCCTTGGCCTGGCTTCCTGTTCACTCTTAGTTTTCATTAGGTAGTTACAGAAAAGTAAATAAGAAAAGAGCGGTGACCTGGAGTATTGACAGCACTGCAGATGCCTTTCTGATCTCTAGGCTTGCAGACCATAATGCGTTTACACAGCTGTTGGTCTGTACATACTATTTTGCATTCTATTTTCCCCCCCCTCCAAACACACATTTCCATATGTCAACAATGGCCACACACCTGTCCTTTGGAGGAGCAGTGGGGCGTTTTATGGTAGCTTTCAAGGTCCTCAACACCCTGGCAGTATCCTTCAGGATAGTGTTTATTTCCACTCACCTATTACAGCCAATTTGACAATCTAACTGAACAACCAGCTCCCTCTCTAGGATCCTTCCAACACACCCCTCTGGTTCATGTTCATCCCTGATACCAGGTGTTGGTCAGGCTGTGCCCCTCTTCCCACCCTCCATTTCTAACAGTAACACCCCTTGCTCTGTGCTCTAACCACATGCTCACCATCACACTACCCTGTGATGAAGAAGTTGTTCCCATGAGCCAGAGAATGTGGAGGTTTAGAAGTTTGATAAGTTGTTTACAGTCTCATGACCAGTGGTGCTAAGCCCAGGTCTGTGGAGCTCCCACCCCTGAGAATTTTGCTTCACTAAAGTCCAAGTCTCTAATCCTAAAAGGATTCACAGAGCCCCTCTCGAAAGATGGTAGAGGGAATAGGAAAGTTCTGGAGCCAGACTTCTTGAATTTGAATTCTAGCTCTGCCTCCTACTGGCTGTATGACTCAGCCAGTGACTTAAGTTCTCTGTGCCTCAGTTTCCTTGACTATGAAACTGATTTAAAGATAGAATTTACTGGGACTTCCCTGGCAGTCCAGTGGTTAAGACTCCACACTCCCAATGGCAGCGGGCACAGGTTCGATCTCTGGTTGGGGAATTAGGTTCTCACATGCCACACAGCATGGTCAGAAAAGAAAAAATAGAATGCACCTATTCTAGGGAAGTTGTGAGGATTAAGTGGTGCAATACACAAGAAGCACTTAGCTCCTGGCATGCAGTGAAAACCCAATAAACGTTAGCTCTTGTTATTCCTACAGAGCCATCCCTTGTCTGCACCAGGCCATGCTGACTGACTGCTGTTCAGAGCAACCCACACCCAAGTCCCACAAGGGAGGACTCCTGTTCGCTCTCTAGATACTCCCCCAGTTCCTAGAATGAGATCTGGTTGCTCCTTGGAGCCCAGGGACATGTCTTATATGAATCCCACAAACATGGACACATAGTAAGCCAAGCTGTTACTCACTGATGGGCTGATGGTGCCAACTCTCTAGACTTAATGGTTTAATATATAAGAAGGGGGATTCAAGGCAGATGTTTCATAAACATCCACAATACCTCAGGGTGCCAAGGGCAGTCTCAGAATTACTCTCTGGTTATATGAGTGCAGCAAACAACTCATTTTGTTCTTAAAAGAAGTCTGAAGAACTGGAATGGCCTTGCTCCATCATCTACTTTTTTTCTGCCTCTGTTTGAGTCACATGGCCATATACATGTTCTCAACATCTCTCAACCCTGCATTCTGAGATGCGGTACATACTGCAGTACACAAGACTGTCTAGTTGTTCAGGCGCTAAGTCCTGTCCGACTCTTTGCGGTATACCCATGACTGATTGTCTAATAACCCTCATGGAGTATGTATACTCTGATTTTGATGAGATGGAGGCCAGGCCTTTAAAAGCCAGGGTTGAGCTCTCATTACTCTTTTGCACATAACTGGAAAATAGAAAGACCTAGGGACTTATCATCAAGAGTTTTCAGATTCCAGACATGCTCTGGATTTTGCCTGTGCATGTGTGATGTTGCCAGTGGAGTGACCTTGGATGAGCCGTAGCAGCCATGATGTTAATCTATCATTTATGCACCTACTATGTGCCAGCATTATGTTATCTCAAATCTCTTAAGAGACAGAATGTAAACCTAGGCCTCCCAACTTCCCTTTTCTACAAATCTGAGACTCATTTTCTTCTTGTATAAAGTGGAGATGCTTCCTGCTTTGTGGGGCCGTTATGATGACCAAACGAGATAATGCTCCTAACCCAGGAATCTGTGGTTCTAAATCTTCTCCCCACAAAGGTGAAAATATTGTGAACAATCAAAGCAAGCTGCCTGGAATCCTAGAAGCACCTTCTGGATCACCCTATAATTATGTGTGAATGAGGAACACGGACAGACTTTATGGGCTGGAGGTAATACTGCCCACCCCACCTTTGATCTTATCTCTGAAAATGCATTAGACCCCAAAGACCACAGGATGGAAGTCTGTCTCCTGAGCGGCCTTGGAAGGAACACACCCGGACACACACGCGAGTCCAGGACACACCTACCACACCCCCACAGTGCTTGAGGTGCTGTGGTACTCTATTACCCTTGGGGTAGGTCTCAACGTCCAGACTCACCCCTTCAGGAGCCCCCAATACTGAACTGAACGCAGCCCCAAGCCCCAGCTGACCCTGCTTCTTCCCCTCCCACCTGCCTGGGCTAGCTGTCCCTTCAACCGGTGTAGATTGGGGAAGGCAAATAAAAAACTCTTTTCAATGCAAATACTTGTAAAACAGACCTGGAAGGTCTTGTTTGAGGACCTTGTTGAGAGGTCACTCCCCTCTCAACACGGGGACCCAGGGAGCTGGCATCCAGTGCCCTGGCTTGGGTGGTGACAGAGTTCAGTGTACAAATGCACAGGTGTGAACAGCATCCATCTCCACGGGGAGTGAACTTCCTCACCTGCCTCCCTTAGCCTCAGAGGACTGAGGTGAAGCCTCTGGAAGACGGGCTGGAGGTAACATCTCAATGCGATGTGCGATCCTGCATTGGGGGAAGTATGTGCTGTAAAAGGGTCTCAATGGACAATCAGCGATGATTGAATGTAAAAGGTATATCAGAAAATGGTGTCGTATCAATATTAAATTCCTAAATTTGCTAGTTGTGCAGAGAATATCGCTGTGCTTACATAGCACACACATAGTATGTAAGATTTTTTCTTTTTATTTTGAAGAAGAGAAGGTTTTTGTTTTTTTTTCTAATTGCATTATAGTTGATTTACAATGTTGTGAATAGGTAAGTATTTAGGAAAAAGGGATCCGATGTCTCAAATTACTCTTTAGAAACAAGTGTGTAAATAACAAGAGAGAGAGCAAATAAAGTAAATGGAGCACAATGTGGTGAATCTAGGTGGCGGTTCTAGGGAGTTCTTTGTACTATTCCTGCAATTGCTCTGCACATTAGGGTTGGTTAAAAAGAAAAAGTTACTTAATACCCTTGAATGGTCCATTTTAAAATGGTTAAAATGGTAAACTGTATGTTATGTATCTTACAATTTAAGAAGTGAAAACATAGCAAACAA